CACTTCAAACTGGTTCATGATAAATTTTTTGTACATTTTTTGAATTATTTTTTTTTCTCCTCTGCTTAAACAGGTAAGTATCTTTAGAATAACTATGTACAGCTGGACACTGGAGATTTGCATTAAGGTGCTTTAATTTGCTATCATATGTATTTCAGTGCATTAAGAAGAAGGCAAATTAAAATCTCCACCCAATTGCTCCGGTTAACAAATGCAACACAGTTTCAGAGCCGTGGCCAGCAAAGCCCGGGGATTTGCAACAGCTCAGCCGCGGGAATGAGAAATCCTCATCTTTTTAAGGCTATTATTTTTTTACAGATTTTTGCAGCCCCATAGTTTGCCCCAACTTACAGGGGCCGTTGCTTCGGTGGCCCCTCTGCCCTCGCGCTGCTGCCACCTCCTTGCAAACCCAGTTTGAAGCTCCTCTCGCCGTGGCACAGGGCCAGGAGTAGGGGTTGGGAATCTTTGCTATGTATAGTGTTAATTTTTATTTTTTTTTTTTGCTTTTAGACCCGTTTAGGTGATTTCACACAAAGGGCTGTACTCTCATCTCGATGCAAACCCAAGTTCAGCACCCAAATCCCTCGGCATCGAGGTGAACCTCTGCTCCGTAACCGGCGAGGGGCTGGGAGGGGGTGCGGGGAGGGGGGACCCGGTGGCCCCTGGCAGCATCACTCCAGCCCCTGGGCGCTCCGCTCCCGCTCCGCCGCTCGCCTGCGGCTCCCGCTTTTAAAAAATCCAAGCTGTAGGGTTTAAAGAGAAACAAAAGAAAACCCCACCATTACTTCAGCAGATTGCTGGGAAGCGCCTTGCTTTTAACGGGATATTGCCGGGAGTTATGACCCTGAATATAAATAACGTGGAAGCGGAAAGAAGTCAGAGGAGCTTTTTGTGATGTCTGGCGGTGCCGAGGGGCTCGTGGGGCTGTGGACACGGAGCTGGGGGGCCAGGGGGTCCCTCCACACATGGGGGGGTCTCCACCGAGCCGCAGCCGCCCCCAACGCGCGTGGCTTAAGGGCTGCTCACCTTCCAGAGCACCAGGACGAGCAGGGCCAGGAGCAGGAGCCCTCCCAGCGTGCTCCCCAGGATGATCCAGATGGGGATCTGCGACTCCTCCGGCTTGGAGATTTCAAACGTTATCTGCGAGGCAAGAGCATCAACATACACTGCTGCTGCCAGGTGCAAGAGCGGGGCGGGTCGGAACGGAGGGGATGGGGGGGTGGCATGATGGTTGGGGTGCTGAGCATCCTGGGGAGGGTGCCAGAGCTGCTGGGGAGGATGCCCACCCTATGCACCAGCCATTTGGGTCGGGTTTTCCCTGTGGTGCCAGGACTGGAGCTGTCTGGCTCTGGCCACAACTGCACCGTGTTGCTCTGGGCTCTGCGGAGCTGGGTGCCCAGTGCTGGTCACTGCAGCCCTTTTGCCGGCCACAGGGTTTTTTCCGCTGCGGGGTTTTGCAGCATCCTCCAAGCTGCCGGGTCTGTGTGTGACTGTCCTGCCCGGGGGCTCACCTGACGGCTGGGGTCCTCCTCACGGAAGATGAAGGGGCTCCCGAAGCGTCGCTGGAGAGCAGCATTCATAGTGAGCTTCAGTGACTTGAACTTCAGCTGTGCAAAGAGATGCTGGACATGAGCACTGGCCATGGGAGAGGACCCAGCATCCAGACCAGGTACCTCCCAAAGCTTTAATCCCCCCTCACTGGCTTTACATCCATGCCAGGGATGCTGTGTGCTGCATCCAAGGGAGAGGACAATGCAGGTCATGTAGGGAGAAGGGTTAAATTGCAACAAGAAAGAATTCCTTGGGTTTAAATTCCCCACAGTGAGGTGCTGTGCAGGATGTTGGATGTACACACCATGGGCTGTGAAAACAAAAAAATCACCTTACAGGTGCCTGGGCTTCTAGTGGATGGGGGGGGTGGGGGTGGGGAAGGCAATTGCAGGAGAGTTAAAAAAAAAAATCCCACGTTTTCATGGTGTGAAGGCTCCTTTGGGTGATTTCTCCTCAAAAGCCACATGCCTGCTTTAGAACTTACTGCTTTCAGAGACTTCATCCACAGATTGCCACGCAAGTGCAAATCCATCCCCTCGTTGGGGGCTAATTTCACATTGCAGTCAATCGAAACGATGTCAGAGTTGCTGTGGTTCTGTAAGGGGAGAAGTTTGTGGTGTAGGAGCTGCCGAGAAGGGGATTAAAACCCCCCTGGGCTTCTCCCTCCAGAGCGAGATCCAAATGCCGGTGGAGGGGCCACGCACCCGTCCTCCCACGTGGCCACGGGGCATCCCCATCCCAGGGGCTTGCTCTCTGGTTTGGTGGCTGTCTGGGCTGGCAGGGCTCAGTCGGGGGCCAGGATCAGGCCCACGAAGGTGCGTACCAGGTGGGGGGTGCGGGAGAGGTCCTCCTCGGCCGGTGTCCTCTGGTAGTCGGTGGTGTTTCCCCAGATGTTGCAGGTTGTGTTCTCCTGTGGGAGAAGCCGATGGGCTCCGAGCATGGGGTCATGGACCACGGTGGCCACCTCTCCACATCATTCCCCGTGCTCAGCACCCGTCCTGGTGAGAGCAGGGGGGACCCTGGACACCCCTGTGCTTTTCTGGTGCTGGTGGCTGAGCCTCTTCTCCC